AAAATTCCAGCGAAAGAGAAGAAAATGATTGAAAAGAAAAATTTAATTAGATCGCTGTTTTGTGTGTGAATTTCTATTCAGTTTGTTGGGCGTTGTGTCTATGTCAAGGTCAGATTGCTTGGTAATTTGATACACGGACTCTGTGAAATGTGCGATGGAAAAAATGGGATCACATCAAAAATGTAAAAAAGACTGATAGGTTTATATATATATATATATGGAAATCGATTTTGAGTGAAGCAATTTGAATATGTTTTTTTTTCACTTTTTTTCGTTGTACATGTGAACGTTCGCTTCGTGCGAAGCATGACTTTCCTGTAAATGGAGAATATAGCAAGCGAGAGAGAGAATTGTATGCAGTGAGTGTAGCCGCAAATGAATTTGATCTCAATTTCAGCCGTCGCCGTGTTATACTTACCTGATAAATCATTTATGGCGTACAATTTCTCTCTCATTATCATTCTTGTACGAGAGTCGATTTTGCCGAGGCCCTTGTATATGTGGCGTGTATGTTATATTACATTTATTTATCAGCGCGCCAGAGATCCGAGCTGCACTGAGGCTCGCGCGCGCGCATGCGCACGCTCATTGCACCAAATACACACATGTACACTGAATACCGTTATAGTAATTTATATGAAAATCGAAACCAAAAAATGACAGAGAAATAAGAATGCGGTGCGAACGAGACGAACAAAAAAGACCGACGGAATGGATTACTTTTTAAAAAGAAATCAAAGTTTGTAACCACCTTGACCACCAATTGATTCAGTGCATGAATTTTCAATGGGTGAATTAAGAAGCCAAGACAAGCCAAGCCAAACGATAACTCAAACCGCAAAAACAGCCAAGCGCATTCTTTGTTTCGGTGTATTTTTTTCCTCTCTCTCTCTCTCTCTCTCTCTCTCTCTATATATATATATATATATATATATATGTTTTACTCGGTTATTCGAGTGGGCCGAAAACATGCAAGCAATACACAAACGTATATACGACGCTCGGTTCCTGATTCTTTTCGCCAGTCTTTTTCATTGATCATCCGATCGTATGTATTTCGCAAAAGGCATATGAATGAGAATGATAAAATGAGTTGAAAAAAAAAAACATAACGAAAACAATTGAAATTTCAAAATGCTGAAAAGAAAGCCGCAAGTGAACAGTAACGATAAAAACAACTCAACGTCCAGCCGTTAAAAAATATACTAAAAAGAAAACAAACCATGTGAAAAAAGAAAACAAATTGAAATGACTTGCTCACTTGCCGCTCGTTTTTGCCCAAATACTTTTGCCTGTTGTCTGCATGAGCAGCAACGACGACGGCGACGACGAGATGGTGATCTGCTTGAATTGTGATGTTGAGTGCACATTGTAATACATAAAATTGATATACGCTGACCATCGATCGGCCAACCATTATTCAGTTTACTTCGTTTTGGCTTGATTTCGTTTCACAGGAAATGTGTATGATCTCTTTAGCCAGCTCGATGCGAGAGCGCCGTTCGTTTTCAACATCGGCAAAGCCTTGCTCTGGCTGGTTGTGTAGTGCTCGCAGAGCGCACAGTGCAAATGCTGTAGATCCATTGGCCAGGAACAGTGAGTGAGCGATGCATGCACTACATTCGCACACATGTGGGATTGCTTTCTCTTTATAATTGATGCCATTTTATTATTGTTTATTGTAATTCTTATTTTATCAACTCAACTCTGTTTTTGTTTCTCTTCACTTCACATTTTATTCGCTGTTCGACGGGGTGTTTCTTTCATTTATTTGATTAGTGATCGTTTTCACTATGTGAATTAAACGCTACGTGCAGCTTGAATGGCGCTGTTTATAGAGAAAAGTGATGGTCACCGCTGTGCTGCGCTGTTGGTTAAACTGAGGGAAAAATCGAAATCGCATTGATAATCACACTGTGTATGGCCGATGAAAAAATCGAATCGTGTAATCGCTTTATTTCGGCTGTTCTTGCCGTTGCCAATTTCTTGAACGGCGAGTGGAAACATTGCGGTCGCCTGAATCCGTTTCTTTGAAAGTTTTTTTTTATTATTGGGCTAGAAGTAAAGATCATCCAGAATGAATTGAATCAGATTTGCTTTTCATCTTGTTTTTTTTTTTATTGGTATTCATTGGTTGACTTTTAGCATATCGTAATTATTTTATTATGTGTCTATAGTGGAAAACAACAGCCTATGTTTGGGAATGTGACCCGAGAAAGGTAAAACAGAATAAAAAGGAAAATTTATTTTATTTCACTTATTTTGGAAAGGCTTTGAATAGGCTGGTTTCTGCTCTGAGGAAAAAAAACGGTTGTGCGAACAAACGAGCCGATTCTGAATAATTGGTGCGACCGACTGAGCCGGAGAGAATTTTGCAAAGCCTTTGATTGTTTGCTGGATGAGTTATGCGGTCAGTCAGTTAGTTAGCTGGATTGGAATTGGTTGGTAATGAAAATTTGACCGCAATGCGAGCGAATTGATGAAAGTTGTAAAGAGTTGTAATTGAACGTTTGCATACATGCTGAGTAAGTATGTATCGTGAACGCGCCATAACAAACATATAGATGGTGAGCTTAGTATGAGTATATCTGCGAGAGATTTCCAGATTAGATGTTCGAATCGTTGTTGTGATCTCTTACTCAACGCAGTGCTGGAAAGGAAACAATTGCCAAGAGTGTCAATGCTTGACGTCGGAGAGAATCATCGCATTTGATCGCCAGTCCGATTGAGCGTGCGCAATGCTCTTTTTCAAACGCCGCAATTTCAGCTTTAATTTAATTTCTTTTATTTTCTCGAATAATGCGCACGGTTCATAGGATACAATGGCATAAATTATTTATAGAAATTCTCTTTGTTGAAATCAACTGAACACAATGAATCGGATCAATGGCACGTACCAAACAACGGCAACAAGCGCACATTTGATGCTGGGTCTGATGGTAGAGAAAAAAAAGTGTAACAAATGTAATTGCCCGTCAACGCCGCTAAACCAAACGAACAAACCATTGAAATGAGCGGTTGTTCGCACGCTCACACCGTATGATCTTTCGTTTTGATGTGTATGCTACTGCTGCTGCTGACTGCTTTTTCCATTGTCATCGCATGTGTAATAAATTGACAATTATTATTTATTCGCCGGCGAGTTTTCTTTGAATTTTACAAGCGATTTATTTGGTGAAAATCAATTGTACAGCGCGAAAGACACGAGAGAAACCGAAAAAAAAGAATCGTTGAAAGAGAAAAATAACCGGTCAAAATGAAAGACCTGGTAACCGCATTATCAGATGACAATGGCGATGGAAGCTATGATGGTCGGTTGCGGTTCGCCATCAAATGAAGACATCGAACATACACTTATTGGTGATATTTAATTAGCGTTGATTGAATCGCATTCAACGCGGTGAAAAATTCACCGAATGACGCATTCAACGAGAACCACCAAAATAACTTCCATTCCTGTTCGGTTGTTTTTATTTTATTGTGGAATGAAAGGTAAAGCCAACGAGTCAAAATCAAGAGGTGTAATTAAAGTGAGAAAGGTGGCTATGCTTAATGAACTTGGCCTATGCGGCATAGGCTATGCTGAAAAGACAAACATCAACAACTAACACAATACAGACGAATGAATTTACATGTGAAACGACAACAACGGTGACGAATAAAATACTTCCGCGCGCACATGAAAAATGCTCTTGTGTGTAGCCATTGACCGTGTTGCGTTCAATTAAAAAGATCTTCTTGATTTTCACCTTTTTCATTTTGCCATTTCACCAAATATTTGCTTTTCGCTTTGATGGATGATGACGACCAAACCATCGATGATTCAATACGATATTATGTACGTAGCTCACTCCGGTAATAGAATGGCAATTTCCCTATGCAAATTTGCAAATTATAAGCATTGCCAAAGAAAAAGACCGGATGAGAAAAGTGACAAGAAGTGAATTTGGCACGCGGAGAACAAATCGAAAGCGATGCTTGAGTGTGCATGCTGGATGGCGGCATTTTTCACTCGCCCTTATTGCACCGAACTACCAATGAAATGTATTTGTGCTCTTGCCACATATATGAGGGTAATAAAATCGCAAGGTTGCAATGTAAGTCGGTGTGTCGCCAACAATGCGTATCTGTTTCAAGTCATCACCCAATGTCTCTTCGTTCCCACATTACAATTACATTATGTTACTGGTTTGGTTCTCTTGTTGCTCTTGCTGCTCTGGTTGTTGTTGTTTTTCTTTCCATGTGCACATACAACAAGTATGTATCAAACGGAAAACATCTACATATACAAAAGTGAATAAAAAAAAGCAACACCGAACAAACGGCCACCGATCGCACGAAAGAGGGAGCTTAACATTACACGAACAAAAATAAAATAAAATATATATAATCAACATATAAAGAACCGTATTCCATGTTACATACAGAAAGTACAGCCACTCGCGTTCGATATGAGACACAAGAATAATTACAACGAAAAATCAAATAACAACAACATAAAACCGAAGCAGTGGTGTTTGTGAAGTGAAAAGTAAAAGAGAGAGAGAGAGAGAGAGAGAGAGAGAGAGAGAGAGAGAGAGAGAGA